TGTGGCGTATGCTTTCTTCCTGGTGAATGAACGGCAGATATCAGTCTCACACTTGTAATATTTGAACCCAAAAAAATTGCATACACTATATTTAAAACAATATTCATACACCGTACAAAACACAAACAGGCTGAGCGGATTGTGATAACAAAACATAAAATAACATCTTATTAGGGAGTCGGCAGTACGAAATCCAAGTTCAAGGTGTCTCCTTCGTGCCAAAGAACTGCATGGCTGTTGGGTGAACAGTCGTTAACGATGGCAGGCAGGTCGTTGTAGGGGCGACGCCTGCTGGTGGATGTAATGTCCTAAGTCCCTTCCCCAGCTAATAATGAGGGTACTGCTGGGGTGACCATTTATTAACCCTCATATAATTCTTCCGGTCAAAATGGACGCTGGGTACGGCCACCTTTTTTTTTTAAAACCTGTGGCAAATATTTTTTTTTTTTGGCCAGACGGTGGCCGTTGCATTTTTGCTCCATTTGTAGACTGGAAGGATGTAGTTTTGTCGCCCAGCTTCTGAGTTGAGTGCATGGCGTGACACTGTGAGCTGCGTTTGTTTTTCGTTGGCACAGGAGCGGAGCATCGGTGGGGTGACCCGTTTGCTATGAAGCTGAAACTAGGATTACTAGATTACCAGGCTGAGCGGATACACAGCATTAGCAATTTGACAACATACACAACACCTAACAAGGACAACATATACAGCACTTACAACATACATAGCACTTACACACTGACAACATACATTGCACTTACATACTGACAACGTACACGACACTTACATACTGACAACGTACACGACACTTATACACTGACAACGTACACGACACTTATACACTGACAACGTACACGACACTTATACACTGACCACACACACATAACTTATATTACGACAAAATACAAAAACCTGCTTGTTTACATAAGTATTCACATATTAAACTGATACACAGTGCTTAAGCAGTGACAACATACACAGCACTTATGCACTGACAACATACACAGCACTCATGCACTGACAAGACAACATAAACAGCACTCATGCAATGTCAACAGACACCACACACATATGTATTACAGTACATATAATTTGTGATCATGCCTAAAGTACATGTGACTTTTACAAGACAATTTGGCAACAAAGAACACAACTTACTTTTGCTGAAGCCTCACGTAGCAGGTGGCCAGATTACTCCAAGCCTCAAAATTCTACAAAATAAAAACAGGTTATCAGTGCAACATGCAAACACTTGCATCTTGTATGTGAACTTGAGAAAAATGTCTGCATAGAAAGTAGTATACACATGTGGAAAATGTGATTCATTATGATCCTTTGGAAATATTATGAAATAAACAATCACTTCAACAATATTCAGCAAATGTAACTAACTCACAGAGCATGCTGAGAAAGTGGAGACAGGCACTCTCCTTGTAGAGTGGCAAACATCGCTTCAGAGGTCCCAGGTAGTTAGTGTCCTTTGGATTTTTTCTCCAGCTAATGCCCGTGGGTTGGGAAATGAGCAGACAGATAGACTGGCTAGTTCTGCACCCCTTGGTGGTGAATTGATGTTTGACAAGCCAGAGGTTGTGAGGCCCCTTTGGGAGTGAGTGAACATTGTGTTGGCACAGATAGATCACTATGGTCTAAGGAGAATGGTGCTGCAAGGAGTTATAAGGGGATCTGGCCGATGCTCAACACTCACAGGACAGGAGGGACAGATATACACAAGTAAGTTACTGTTGCCATCAGAATTGGAACTCTTTGCTTCTAGCTGAAAATGAGTAAGGAGTTCTTACGGGAGAGTCCCAAGTGCTTAGATGTCGATTCGTAATTCAATATTTTAACATTCAACAGTATGCAAACTGTTTTTCAATGAAGTGTTTGCAGAATACAAGAGACAAATATTTCAATGATGCAGCACAGTGCTGGTTTTTGCACAAAACAGGAGGGAAAGATAAACACAGACTTGGAAACATGTTCACCCAGTGTCATAGCTAACAGAAGGCAAAGACAAACACAGACTTGGAAACACGTACACTCAATGAAATAGCAAACAGAAGGCAAAGATAAACACAGACTTGGAAACACATTCACTCAATGACAGAGGCAAACAGAAGGCAAAGACAAACACAGACTTGGAAACACATTTACTTAATGACATAGCAAACAGAAGGCAAAGACAAACACAGACTTGGAAACACATTCACTCAATGACAGAGGCAAACAGAAGGCAAAGACAAACACAGACTTGGAAACACATTCACTCAATGACATAGCAAACAGAAGGCAAAGACAAACACAGACTTGGAAACACATTTACTTAATGACATAGCAAACAGAAGGCAAAGACAAACACAGACTTGGAAACACATTCACTCAATGACATAGCAAACAGAAGGCAAAGACAAACACAGACTTGGAAACACATTCACTCAATGACATAGCAAACAGAAGGCAAAGACAAACACAGACTTGGAAACACATTTACTTAATGAAATAGCAAACAGAAGGCAAAGATAAACACAAACTTGGAAACACATTCACTCAATGACAGAGCAAACAGAAGGCAAAGATAAACACAGACTGGGAAACACATTCACTCAATGACAGAGGCAAACAGAAGGCAAAGATAAACACAGACTTGGAAACACATTCACTCAATGACATAGCAAACAGAAGGCAAAGATAAACACAGACTGGGAAACACATTTACTCAATGACATAGCAAACAGAAGGCAAAGATAAACACAGACTTGGAAACACATTTACTCAATGACATAGCAAACAGAAGGCAAAGATAAACACAGCCTTGGAAACACATTCACTCAATGACAGAGCAAACAGAAGGCAAAGATAAACACAGACTGGGAAACACATTCACTCAATGACAGAGGCAAACAGAAGGCAAAGACAAACACAGACTTGGAAACACATTCACTCAATGACATAACAGAAGGCAAAGATAAACACAGACTTGGAAACACATTTACTCAATGACATAGCAAACAGAAGGCAAAGATAAACACAGACTTGGAAACACATTTACTCAATGACATAGCAAACAGAAGACAAAGACAAACACAGACTTGGAAACACATACACTCAATGACATAGCAAACAGAAGGCAAAGATAAACACAGACTTGGAAACACATTTACTCAATGACATAGCAAACAGAAGGCAAAGACAAACACAGCCTTGGAAACACATTTACTCAATGACATAGCAAACAGAAGGCAAACATAAACACAGCCTTGGAAACACATTCACTCAATGACAGAGGCAAACAGAAGGCAAAGATAAACACAGCCTTGGAAACACATTCACTCAATGACAGAGGCAAACAGAAGGCAAAGATAAACACAGACTTGGAAACACATACACTCAATGACATAGCAAACAGAAGGCAAAGATAAACACAGCCTTGGAAACACATTCACTCAATGACATAGCAAACAGAAGGCAAAGATAAACACAGCCTTGGAAACACATTCACTCAATGACAGAGGCAAACAGAAGACAAAGATAAACACAGACTTGGAAACACATTCACTCAATGACAGAGCAAACAGAAGGCAAAGATAAACACAGACTTGGAAACACATTCACTCAATGAAATAGCAAACAGAAGGCAAAGACAAACACAGACTTGGAAACACATTTACTCAATGACATAGCAAACAGAAGGCAAAGACAAACACAGACTGGGAAACACATGCACTTAATGACATAGCAAACAGAAGGCAAAGATAAACACAGACTTGGAAACACATTCACTCAATGACAGATCAAATATCAGCCAGCCAGTCAACACTGGTGGGAGGTGCCTGGTACACTGTTTATCAAATCTGTTACATGAGAATGTAGGTGGTAGTCTGTGATGTATTTATGCTTGTTACATCATGTAATCTAATACAGCGACTGATATTTTCTTCCACTTGGCGCTCATCGGCTCTGGTAGTTTGTCCACTTCTGGACTTTGAACTTTGGCCTGGTTCCAAAACTTCAAGTTTTGCACACACACACATCTGTGGCTTCTTCTATGCAGATTGTTGATTCCTCACCTCTCAGGCAGATGCGTTTTGATTCTGACAGAAAAACCCATAATTAGTTGCCTTTTATGACATACTTGCTTGGGAAGGGGGCGGAGATCTAGATAACTTCCAACTGAGGACATCAGGACTGGTTTTATGTTTACCCCGAGGAGGGGGGGGAGGGGTAACAGCTGACCTTTCTCAAGCACAACAACAGGAGACAGTGACAGAAGCACCCTGCAGTCTCTTCAGAAGCCAAGATAGTCCTAGAATGAAGAATACGCAAGGAGCAAACAATTTTGTTATTTGAAGTGTTCACAATCGACATAAATGCACACTAGGCTTTCCCATGCATGCACGGTTCTCCAATGCAGCAGGCACTCCAACGTACCTCTACTGACTGTTCTCATCAGGATTTAGTTATATCTTCTATTTTGGCCTCGAAGGCAGTGAGTTGTGCTTTATCAGGCTTTCCTCCCAGGTCATGCAATTGTATTAGTGTCATACATTCATCAATATTCACTAGACTAATCAATGTTGCCTGCCCCAGCATTAAAAGGGGTGGGGGGGGGAAGATAACATAAGCTGGAGGGAGGAGGGAGTTTGTGTGACGACCAACACTGAGTTTTTTGCCATGGTACAGAAAGTGAGAGATTCCAAAGGACATAAAGGAAAATAGAAAAGTTAATCCAAATTATATAAAGGACAACAGAAAAGTCAATCCAAACCATTTGAAAGACAACAGAAAATTTAATCCAAATGATTTAAAAGACAACAGAAAAGTAGACCCAAACTGAGATATCGGGCAACAAAAAAATTGGATCTGAAGAAGAGAAATGACATCAGAAAACTGTAGATGGGCACAAGAAAAATATTGGATCTAAAACATTTATCCAACTGATACATCTGACGCTGTTTTAACTGTTACCAGTATACAAGACCACATAAATATAATTTGTACATACATCGTAGTCAATAGAAACACACTGTCTGAAGGCTTTGGCTCCGACCTCAAACTTCTGACAGGCCATGGCAGCACAACCATATGTGAACCACACTGGAATCTGTAAAGATAAACCTCTAATAATGACAACTATAATTTGAATCACACTGGAATCTGTAAAGATAAACCTCTAATAATGACACAACTATTATGTGAACCACACTGGAATCTGTAAAGATAAGCTTCTAATAATGACACAACTATAATTTGAACCACACTGGAATCTGTAAAGATAAGCTTCTAATAATGACACAAATATAATTTGAATCACTCTGGAATCTGTAAAGATAAACTTCTAATAATGACACAACCATAATTTGAATCACTCTGGAATCTGTAAAGATAAGCTTCTAATAATGACACAAATATAATTTGAATCACTCTGGAATCTGTAAAGATAAACTTCTAATAATGACACAAATATAATTTGAATCACTCTGGAATCTGTAAAGATAAGCTTCTAATAATGACACAACCCTAATTTGAATCACTCTGGAATCTGTAAAGATAAACTTCTAATAATGACAAAACTATAATTTGAATGACACTGGAATCTGTAAAGATAAACTTCTAATAATTACACAACCATAATTTGAATCACACTGGAATCTGTAAAGATAAGCTTCTAATAATGACACAAATATAATTTGAATCACTCTGGAATCTGTAAAGATAAACCTCTAACAATGACACAACCATAATTTGAACCACACTGGAATCTGTAAAGATAAACCTCTAACAATGACACAACCATAATTTGAATCAAACTGGAATTTGTAAAGATAAACCTCTAACAATGACACAACCATAATTTGAATCACACTGGAATCTGTAAAGATAAACCTCTAATAATGACACAACTATAATTTGAATCACACTAGAATCTGTAAAGATAAACCTCTAATAATGACACAACTATAAAGTGAACTACACTAGAATCTGTGAAGATTAAGATCTAATAATGACACAACTATAATTTGAATCACACTGGAATCTGTAAAGATAAACAACTAATAATGACACAAACATAAAGTGAACCACACTGAATATTAAGAAAACGGAAACGGTTATATCAAAGAAGAAGATAATTCCCCGTTGTGATATCTCAGTTGAAGGAAAAAGACTTAACCAGGTCAATAAATTCAAATATTTGGGAACAATCATATCATCGGATGGAAAAATTTGTGTGACAGAGACGGTCAGAAAAGGTCAAGCAAAAGCTGCATTTCAGAAAATGGAAAATATCCTATGCAATTAATCGCTCTTATTTAATGTCAGAAAGAAAGAGCTAAAATGTTACACAGAACCTGTTCTGCTGTTTGGCAGCGAATCTTGTAATGCCAGTGAACAAATTAAGAAGAATTTGGAAGCAACAGAGATGTAGTTTCTAAGACGAATGTTACGAATACCTTGGACGGCCAGCGTAACTAACAACGATTGCTTGAAAGAAGCAAATGAAAGTAGATCTCTATATACAACAATAAGAAAGAGACAAACACTGTTCCTTGGCCACATAATGAGAAGAGAGACATTAGAGAACATTGTGACAACTGGAAAGATCAGTGGAAAAAGGGGGAAAGGCAGACCTAGAGAGATTATGCTGGATGGGCTGAAACAATGGCATGGAGGGATTTCATCAAGAAAGCTGTTCCAGGCGACCAGGGATTGTGATCTGTGGAGATGCACAAGCGCCTACGCCAGTTGGCCGGGCACATGAGGATACTGACACCGGAGTACGGTGCATCTGATAATGACAACCATAATGTGAACCACACTGGTACATGTGAAGATAAACATTAACAGCACAGCCATATGTAAACTACGCCAGAATCTGCAAACAAAACTATTCAGTAACAACAGAATCAGATCATATAAATCACAGCTGCTATCCACCCAGCAGTATCTGAACTCCATTTTAAGTGTGACGGATGAATCATGCAGTGACAACTCTGCACTCTGTTTTAGCTAGGAGACAATACTTTGACCACAATCTTTTGCTACAGAGCACTGATCCTTCCATGCATAACGTTTAGGATGGCATGCATGCACACACACAGGTGTACACTGGCATACAGGTGTACGCATACACAAGGGTACAGACACACACACAAACACTAGCAAAACAAACACCAGATTTTAATTTCTAACTACTACTCACCTGTAGGCAGTTGATTTTTAAGCTTGTTGCAAAACATTCAATGGCTTGCTCAAACTGTCAATATAAACATAAACTTTAGAAGATGGCCTGCTCAAACTGTCAATATAAACATAAACTTTAGAAGATGGCCTGCTCAAACTGTCAATATAAACATAAACTTTAGAAGATGGCTTGCTCAAACTGTCAATATAAACATAAACTTTAGAAGATGGCCTGCTCAAACTGTCAATATAAACATAAACTTTAGAAGATGGCCTGCTCAAACTGTCAATATAAACATAAACTTTAGAAGATGGCCTGCTCAAACTGTCAATATAAACATAAACTTTAGAAGATGGCCTGCTCAAACTGTCAATATAAACATAAACTTTAGAAGATGGCCTGCTCAAACTGTCAATATAAACATAAACTTTAGAAGATGGCCTGCTCAAACTGTCAATATAAACATAAACTTTAGAAGATGGCCTGCTCAAACTGTCAATATAAACATAAACTTTAGAAGATGGCTTGCTCAAACTGTCAATATAAACATAAACTTTAGAAGATGGCCTGCTCAAACTGTCAATATAAACATAAACTTTAGAAGATGGCCTGCTCAAACTGTCAATATAAACATAAACTTTAGAAGATGGCCTGCTCAAACTGTCAATATAAACATAAACTTTAGAAGATGGCTTGCTCAAACTGTCAATATAAACATAAACTTTAGAAGATGGCCTGCTCAAACTGTCAATATAAACATAAACTTTAGAAGATGGCCTGCTCAAACTGTCAATATAAACATAAACTTTAGAAGATGGCCTGCTCAAACTGTCAATATAAACATAAACTTTAGAACATGGCCTGCTCAAACTGTCAATATAAACATAAAATTTAGAAGATGGCCTGCTCAAAATGTCAATATAAACATAAACTTTAGAACATGGCCTGCTCAAACTGTCAATATAAACATAAACTTTAGAAGATGGCCTGCTCAAACTGTCAATATAAACATAAACTTTAGAAGATGGCCTGCTCAAACTGTCAATATAAACATAAAGTTTAGAACATGTCCTGCTCAAACTGTCAATATAAACATAAACTTTAGAACATGACTTGCTCAAACTGTCAATATAAACATAAACTTTAGAACATGGCCTGTGTAAATTGTCAATATAAACATTATGATTAGAAGACAGCCTGCTCAAACTATCCAAGAAAAATATCAGAATATGTTCTGCTCAAACAGTTAATATAAACATTACAATTTGAATATGTACTTGGACATCACACACACAAACCATTGAAGTACATCAAACATGACAGGCATAACTGCAAGAATATTTTTTTAAATTTGTTAATATAACAGTAAAAAGTACACCAAACCATACACATCAAAACAATACACACAAATGGTAGAAGTACTTTAAACATGACAGAAGCTATTTCACCATATAAAAGTGTTCAGTTGGGGAATATAAAAAAAAGGGGGGGGGGGGGAGGGGGGAAGTGTGAACATCTTCCAGGGGTAATTTCACTAAACAAATGGTGCAGTAATATTTTTGTGCTGCTTCTCTCCACAAGTACAGAAATTGAGTGAGCATTACACACACAACTATTTGTGACTACAGCATCAGAAGCATAGTGTGTATCCGTCAACTGCAACAATTGATACAATATTATTTTCTTGCTGCTTCTCTCTGCAAGAGGCCATGCACCTTGCGTTGGTTTCGACAGTGGTATCAAGAAAGTCGACCGTCCAGAAAACAATGGCAAACTACTGATGGAAATTTGCCTAGAAAACTCACACAACAGCCAGGGGCTGTTGGGGTTGGTTCTGCAACTCCTGTAAAGGATACGCAACTAACCTAACCTCTCTCCACAAGTACAGACACTGTCTGAGCACTGCTCACACAACTGTTTGAGACTACAGCATCAGAAACAGAAGCACGGTGTGTATCCATCAACTTAATATGGAGCATGCCAACAAAGAGTGGCCTCAGTGATACCCTAGTCTAAGAGCTGTTCCTGTGGTCAAGTGTTATTTGGTGTGAAACTGACTGCATCTCCTTCCAACGCTATCTGACGCAATTTACATGGAGATTATTTCTTTGCTGTGAGCTGTCAGCAGTACTGTTGTGTTGTTGACACTTCAAGAACAAACAACAAGACTCCTGGCAGACTGTGTTGACACTTCAAGAACAAACAACAAGACTCCTGGCAGACTGTGTTGACACTTCAAGAACAAACAACAGGACTCCTGGCAGACTGTGTTTACACTTCAAGAACCAACAACAAGACTCCTGGCAGACTGTGTTGACACTTCAAGAACAAACAACAAGACTCCTGGCGGACTGTGTTTACACTTCAAGAACCAACAACAAGACTCCTGGCAGACTGTGTTGACACTTCAAGAACAAACAACAAGACTCCTGGCGGACTGTGTTTACACTTCAAGAACAAACAACAAGACTCCTGGCAGACTGTGGCAGTGTTGACACTTCAAGAACAAACAAGACTCCTGGCAGACTGTGTTTACACTTCAAGAACAAACAAGACTCCTGGTAGACTGTGGCAGTGTTGACACTTCAAGAACAAACAAGACTCCTGGCAGACTGTGTTGACACTTCAAGAACAAACAAGACTCCTGGCAGACTGTATTGACAATTCAAGAACAAACAACAAGACCCCTGGCAGACTGTGTTGACACTTCAAGAACACACAACAAGACTCCTGGCAGACTGTGTTGACACTTCAAGAACACAAAACAAGACTCCTGGCAGACTGTGTTGACACTTCAAGAACACACAACAAGACTCCTGGCAGACTGTGTTGACACTTCAAGAACACACAACAAGACTCCTGGCAGACTGTGTTGACACTTCAAGAACACACAACAAGACTCCTGGCAGACTGTGCTGACACTTCAAGAACACACAACAAGACTCCTGGCAGACTGTGTTTACACTTCAAGAACACACAACAAGACTCCTGGCAGACTGTGTTGACACTTCAAGAACACACAACAAGACTCCTGGCAGACTGTGTTGACACTTCAAGAACACACAACAAGACTCCTGGCAGACTGTGCTGACACTTCAAGAACACACAACAAGACTACTGGCAGACTGTTGCAGTGTTGACACTTCAAGAACCAACAAAAAGACTCCTGGCAGACTGTGTTGACACTTCAAGAACAAACAACAAGACTCCTGGCGGACTGTGTTTACACTTCAAGAACCAACAACAAGACTCCTGGCAGACTGTGTTGACACTTCAAGAACAAACAACAAGACTCCTGGCGGACTGTGTTTACACTTCAAGAACAAACAACAAGACTCCTGGCAGACTGTGGCAGTGTTGACACTTCAAGAACAAACAAGACTCCTGGCAGACTGTGTTGACACTTCAAGAACAAACAACAAGACTCCTGGCAGACTGTGTTTACACTTCAAGAACAAACAAGACTCCTGGTAGACTGTGGCAGTGTTGACACTTCAAGAACAAACAAGACTCCTGGCAGACTGTGTTGACACTTCAAGAACAAACAAGACTCCTGGCAGACTGTATTGACAATTCAAGAACAAACAACAAGACTCCTGGCAGACTGTGTTGACACTTCAAGAACACACAACAAGACTCCTGGCAGACTGTGTTGACACTTCAAGAACACACAACAAGACTCCTGGCAGACTGTGTTGACACTTCAAGAACACACAACAAGACTCCTGGCAGACTGTGTTGACACTTCAAGAACACACAACAAGACTCCTGGCAGACTGTGTTGACACTTCAAGAACACACAACAAGACTCCTGGCAGACTGTGCTGACACTTCAAGAACACACAACAAGACTACTGGCAGACTGTTGCAGTGTTGACACTTCAAGAACCAACAAAAAGACTCCTGGCAGACTGTGCTGACACTTCAAGAACACACAACAAGACTCCTGGCAGACTGTGTTGACACTTCAAGAACAAACAACAAGACTCCTGGCAGACTGTGTTGACACTTCAAGAACAAACAACAAGACTCCTGGCAGACTGTGTTTACACTTCAAGAACCAACAACAAGACTCCTGGCAGACTGTGTTGACACTTCAAGAACAAACAACAAGACTCCTGGCGGACTGTGTTTACACTTCAAGAACCAACAACAAGACTCCTGGCAGACTGTGTTGACACTTCAAGAACAAACAACAAGACTCCTGGCGGACTGTGTTTACACTTCAAGAACAAACAACAAGACTCCTGGCAGACTGTGGCAGTGTTGACACTTCAAGAACAAACAAGACTCCTGGCAGACTGTGTTGACACTTCAAGAACAAACAACAAGACTCCTGGCAGACTGTGTTTACACTTCAAGAACAAACAAGACTCCTGGTAGACTGTGGCAGTGTTGACACTTCAAGAACAAACAAGACTCCTGGCAGACTGTGTTGACACTTCAAGAACAAACAAGACTCCTGGCAGACTGTATTGACACTTCAAGAACAAGACTCCTGGCAGACTGTGTTGACACTTCAAGAACACACAACAAGACTCCTGGCAGACTGTGTTGACACTTCAAGAACACACAACAAGACTACTGGCAGACTGTGTTGACACTTCAAGAACACACAACAAGACTCCTGGCAGACTGTGTTGACACTTCAAGAACACACAACAAGACTCCTGGCAGACTGTGTTGACACTTCAAGAACACACAACAAGACTCCTGGCAGACTGTGTTGACACTTCAAGAACACACAACAAGACTCCTGGCAGACTGTGCTGACACTTCAAGAACACACAACAAGACTACTGGCAGACTGTTGCAGTGTTGACACTTCAAGAACCAACAAAAAGACTCCTGGCAGACTGTGCTGACACTTCAAGAACACACAACAAGACTCCTGGCAGACTGTGTTGACACTTCAAGAACAAACAACAAGACTCCTGGCAGACTGTGTTGACACTTCAAGAACAAACAACAAGACTCCTGGCGGACTGTGTTGACACTTCAAGAACACACAACAAGACTCCTGGCAGACTGTGTTGACACTTCAAGAACACACAACAAGACTCCTGGCAGACTGTGTTTACACTTCAAGAACAAACAAGACTCCTGGTAGACTGTGGCAGTGTTGACACTTCAAGAACAAACAAGACTCCTGGCAGACTGTGTTGACACTTCAAGAACAAACAAGACTCCTGGCAGACTGTATTGACACTTCAAGAACAAACAACAAGACTCCTGGCAGACTGTGTTGACACTTCAAGAACACACAACAAGACTCCTGGCAGACTGTGTTTACACTTCAAGAACACACAACAAGACTCCTGGCAGACTGTGTTGACACTTCAAGAACACACAACAAGACTCCTGGCAGACTGTGTTGACACTTCAAGAACACACAACAAGACTCCTGGCAGACTGTGCTGACACTTCAAGAACACACAACAAGACTACTGGCAGACTGTTGCAGTGTTGACACTTCAAGAACCAACAAAAAGACTCCTGGCAGACTGTGCTGACACTTCAAGAACACACAACAAGACTCCTGGCAGACTGTGCTGACACTTCAAGAACACACAACAAGACTCCTGGCAGACTGTGCTGACACTTCAAGAACACACAACAAGACTCCTGGCAGACTGTGCTGACACTTCAAGAACACACAACAAGACTCCTGGCAGACTGTTGCAGTATTGACACTTCAAGAACACACAACAAGACTCCTGGCAGACTGTTTACACTTCAAGAACAAACAACAAGACTCCTGGCAGACTGTGTCGGTGTTGACACTTCAAGAACAAACAACAAGACTCCTGGCAGACTGTGTCGGTGTTGACACTTCAAGAACAAACAACAAGACTCCTGGTAGAGCCCACACTACCCACCTTCTCTTCCTGGAAATGGATGTAGCCCATACACCTCATGGAGCGAGCGTTTCTGTGACCAGACAGCTCCCAGGCTCGCTGATAAGGCTCTAGCTGCCGGGTGACGTCTCCGAGGTAACACAACAGATTTGGTGTCTCCTTGACGGCAAGCTGCTCTCTGATCACGGACTCTGCCTGCAAACCCGGAGGTCAAGACAGAAAAATCATCATCAGTGCCTGTGCAGAACAGACTTCAATGGTATGACAGAATCGCTAACGGAGAGAAATAAACAAGTTCCAGTGAATCAAGAGGTGAAGAAAAGACACTAGCATTAGACAGGACATACCGTGAGAAAACCTGAGAACAAAAGCTAGAAGGACTTCACAAAAGCACATAAATAATGGTAGACCAAAGAATACAATGGTGGAAAAGATGGGCAGACATGAGGGTGAGCTGCATACAATAGCAAAATATAGGACAGCATGCATGGGCTGAGGGCCTATGCTCCACTGGGGGCTTAAGGGCAGTAGAAGTAATCAGATTAATTACACTACTCAACCTGTTCAGCTGATATGCCCCATAAACTTGTGAGTCTAACAAGTGATCTGTAACACCTGCTGCTGTCAAAACTTCTGCATTTGTTATTGAACTGTCTATCATATTCTCCATATTTTTGTTTATAAAAACAAAAATCATCATAATCACAAGTCAAACGCATCCAATTTCTAATAGTCAAAAATGGATAAGTCTTTCAGTTTGTGAGAGAATGTTAAAACAAAAAAGGAAACACCTTTTATTTTGTAACAGAATTTTACAACAAAAATGGAAACATTCTTTATTTTGTGAGAATATTACAATATTTTGTCAGAGATAATACAACAGAAATCAGCCTCACCTTTTCTCGTTTGCCTAGTTTCTGATAACAAGCAATGACATCATCCCACAATTCCAGTTTCTCAAAGACATCAAGCGCACTTCCTGTACAGCCCAGTGACAATAATAAAGAGGCCAAGTCTCGCTGAAACATAGAGGCTGCAGTTCCAAACACTGAACATAAGTATCAACACAGATAAGAGATCATACCAAGTTATAAAACAGTGAAATACAAGAGCCAAGTGTTTCTGAAACATTGAATGAAACAAAACAGTGAAATACAAGAGAGCCAAGTGTTTCTGAAACATTGAAACAAATATAAAACAGTAAAATACAAAAAAAACCAAGTGTTTCTGAAACGGTGAACACAAATGTAAACATAGATGACAGCTGAGTTAGTAGTAACAACAGACTGGATCTGTGGTGGCACTGTGGTTAGTGTGACTGCTGACCAAGACAGAGGCCCAGGTTCAAACATCATAAGAATCAGGATTCCTGTTTTCTGACCAGATAATGGTTTGTCTGAGAGACAACAGGCTACTACTTAAACATCGGAATCGCCAGCCCTGAGAGGCTTGTTGCTGCACTGACAGGCTGGTACCCACCACCTGCTCTAGCACTCCACCACCTGCTCTAGCACTCCATCACCTGCTGCACTTTATCCTTTCAGTGGCTACAAAACTGAAACAAAAATATTCAATGAAACCACGACTTCTATACACTGTTTACCCCCCCCCCCCCCAGCACAAAAGTCATCATCATCATCAGTTCTCGTTATGCCTAGTGGCACATGAGGCTTCAGAGAGGACTTTCCATGCTTTCCTGTCCTGTGCAATCTTCAGTGCAGTTTTCTATGTCAAAGATGCCGCACTCAGATCACTTTCCAACAATCTTCTCCACGTTGTTTTTGGGCGCCCCTGTTTTCTCTTTCCCTCTGGTGTCCATGTGAGAGCTGTTTTGGCAGGTATATCAGGATTAATTCTCATAACATGGCCAAGCCATTTCCATCTTCTCTTGATTATCATACTGTCTAAAGTTTCTTTAATTGTGACTTGTAGTTTAGTGTTTGAGATTGTATCTGGCCAGAAAATTTTGATAATTCTACGTAGACATGTGTGGTGCAAGGTAGACAGCTTGTGTGCATCCTTTTTAGTCATTCTTCAGCATTCCACTCCATAAAGAAGAACCGCACAAAAGTAGATTACATTTAAGGTCAAGGCCACATAGGAAATGACACTAACCTGTACAGTCCAAACTGGCGCAACATTGCAAGCATAAAACAATGGAATGCGACAACTGATGTCTGGCGACCCATCCGGAGTCAGTGCAGTTTTCACCAGCTCCTGAAACAACAATCTGATCAATAAGTGAATGGAAAAAAACACTCACACGAATGCACACACACAGACACAATTGCAAAAAATTTCTTTACAGTGCAACTAAAACAAGGGAAGACAACTCTTGTACTGTCTCTATGAAAAAACTAAATGAAGACACAGTTGTTCAAGCCTTAGCATAAACCACAGCCAGACACAGAATGTTGGACTGTTAGCTGTACTATACACCACAGCCAGACACAGAATGTTGGACTGTTAGCTGTACCATACACCACAGCCAGACACACAATGTTGGACTGTTAGCTGTACCATACACCACAGCCAGACACAGAATGTTGGACTATTAGCTGTACCATAAACCACAGCCAGACACACAATGTTGGACTGTTAGCTGTACCATAAACCACAGCCAGACACAGAATGTTGGACTGTTAGCTGTACCATAAACCACAGCCAGACACACAATGTTGGACTGTTAGCTGTACCATAAACCACAGCCAGACACAGAATGTTGGACTGTTAGCTGTACCATAAACCACAGCCAGACACAGAATGTTGGACTGTTAGCTGTACCAAAAACCACAGCCAGACACAGAATGTTGGACTGTTAGCTGTACCATAAACCACAGCCAGACACAGAATGTTGGACTGTTAGCTGTACCATAAACCACAGCCAGACACAGAATGTTGGACTGTTAGCTGTACCATAAACCACAGCCAGACACAGAATGTTGGACTGTTAGCTGTACCATAAACCACAGCCAGACACACAATGTTGGACTGTTAGCTGTACCATAAACCACAGCCAGACACACAATGTTGGACTGTTAGCTGTACCATAAACCACAGCCAGACACACAATGTTGGACTGTTAGCTGTACCATAAACCACAGCCAGACACAGAATGTTGGACTGTTAGCTGTACCATAAACCACAGCCAGACACAGAATGTTGGACTGTTAGCTGTATCATAAACCACAGCCAGACACACAATGTTGGACTGTTAGCTGTACCATACACCACAGCCAGACACAGAATGTTGGACTGTTAGCTGTACCATACACCACAGCCAGACACACAATGTTGGACTGTTAGCTGTACCATACACCACAGCCAGACACAGAATGTTGGACTGTTAGCTGTACCATAAACCACAGCCAGACACAGAATGTTGGACTGTTAGCTGTACCATAAACTACAGCCAGACACAGAATGTTGGACTGTTAGCTGTACCATAAACCACAGCCAGACACACAATGTTGGACTGTTAGCTGTACCATACACCACAGCCAGACACAGAATGTTGGACTTTTAGCTGTACCATACACCACAGCCAGACACAGAATGTTGGACTGTTAGCTGTACCGTAAACCACAGCCAGACACAGAATGTTGGACTGTTAGCTGTACCATAAACCACAGCCAGACACAGAATGTTGGACTGTTAGCTGTACCATACACCACAGCCAGACACAGAATGTTTGACTGTTAGCTGTACCATACACCACAGCCAGACACAGAATGTTGGACTGTTAGCTGTACCATAAACCATAGCCAGACACAGAATGTTTGACTGTTAGCTGTACCATACACCACAGCCAGACACAGAATGTTGGGCTGTTAGCTGTACCATAAACCATAGCCAGACACAGAATGTTGGACTGTTAGCTGTACCATACACAACAGCCAGACACAGAATGTTGGACTGTTAGCTGTACCACACACCATAGCCAGACACAGAATGTTGGACTGTTAGCTGTACCATAAACCACAGCCAGACACAGAGTGTTGGACTGTTAGCTGTACCATACACCACAGCCAGACACAGAATGTTGGACTGTTAGCTGTACCATACACCACAGCCAGACACAGAATGTTGGACTGTTAGCTGTACCATACACCACAGCCAGACACAGAATGTTGGACTGTTAGCTGTACCATAAACCACAGCCAAACACAGAATGTTGGACTGTTAGCTGTACCATACACCACAGCCAGACACAGAATGTTGGACTGTTAGCTGTACCATAAACCATAGCCAGACACAGAATGTTGGACTGTTAGCTGTACCATAAACCACAGCCAGACACAGAATGTTGGACTGTTAGCTGTACCATACACCACAGCCAGACACAGAATGTTGGACTGTTAGCTGTACCATACACCACAGCCAGACACACAATGTTGGACTGTTAGCTGTACCATAAACCACAGCCAGACACAGAATGTTGGACTGTTAGCTGTACCATACACCACAGCCAGACACAGAATGCTGGACTGTTAGCTGTACCATACACAACAGCCAGACGCAGAATGTTGGACTGTTAGCTGTACCATACACCATAGCCAGACACAGAATGTTGGACTGTTAGCTGTACCATAAACCACAGCCAGACACAGAATGTTGGACTGTTAGCTGTACCATACACCACAGCCAGACACACAATGTTGGACTGTTAGCTGTACCATACACCACAGCCAGACACAGAATGTTGGACTGTTAGCTGTACCGTAAACCACAGCCAGACACAGAATGTTGGACTGTTAGCTGTACCATAAACCACAGCCAGACACAGAATGTTGGACTGTTAGCTGTACCATACACCACAGCCAGACACAGAATGTTTGACTGTTAGCTGTACCATACACCACAGCCAGACACAGAATGTTGGACTGTTAGCTGTACCATAAACCATAGCCAGACACAGAATGTTGGACTGTTAGCTGTACCATACACCACAGCCAGACACAGAATGTTGGACTGTTAGCTGTACCATATACCATAGCCAGACACAGAATGTTGGACTGTTAGCTGTACCATACACAACAGCCAGACACAGAATGTTGGACTGTTAGCTGTACCATACACCATAGCCAGACACAGAATGTTGGACTGTTAGCTGTACCATAAACCACAGCCAGACACAGAATGTTGGACTGTTAGCTGTACCATACACCACAGCCAGACACAGAATGTTGGACTGTTAGCTGTACCATACACCACAGCCAGACACACAATGTTGGACTGTTAGCTGTACCATACACCACAGCCAGACACAGAATGTTGGACTGTTAGCTGTACCATAAACCACAGCCAGACACAGAATGTTGGACTGTTAGCTGTACCATAAACCACAGCCAGACACAGAATGTTGGACTGTTAGCTGTACCATAAACCACAGCCAGACACAGAATGTTGGACTGTTAGCTGTACCATAAACCACAGCCAGACACAGAATGTTGGACTGTTAGCTGTACCATAAACCACAGCCAGACACAGAATGTTGGACTGTTAGCTGTACCATAAACCACAGCCAGACACAGAATGTTGGACTGTTAGCTGTACCATAAACCACAGCCAGACACAGAATGTTGGACTGTTAGCTGTACCATAAACCACAGCCAGACACAGAATGTTGGACTGTTAGCTGTACCATAAACCACAGCCAGACACAGAATGTTGGACTGTTAGCTGTACACAGAATGTTGGACTGTTAGCTGTACCATAAACCACAGCCAGACACAGAATGTTGGACTGTTAGCTGTACCATAAACCACAGCCAGACACAGAATGTTGGACTGTTAGCTGTACCATAAACCACAGCCACACAGAAGACTGTTAGCTGTACCATAACCACAGCCAGACACAGAATGTTGGACTGTTAGCTGTACCATAAACCACAGCCAGACACAGAATGTTGGACTGTTAGCTGTACCATAAACCACAGCCAGACACAGAATGTTGGACTGTTAGCTGTACCATACACCACAGCCAGACACAGAATGTTGGACTGTTAGCTGTTAGCTGTACCATGTTGGAACCACAGCCAGACACAGAATGTTGGACTGTTAGCTGTACCATACACCACAGCCAGACACAGAATGTTGGACTGTTAGCTGTACCATACACCACAGCCAGACACAGAATGTTGGACTGTTAGCTGTACCATAAACCACAGCCAGACACAGAATGTTGGACTGTTAGCTGTACCATACACCACAGCCAGACACAGAATGTTGGACTGTTAGCTGTACCATACACCACAGCCAGACACAGAATGTTGGACTGTTAGCTGTACCATACACCACAGCCAGACACAGAATGTTGGACTGTTAGCTGTACCATACACCACAGCCAGACACAGAATGTTGGACTGTTAGCTGTACCATACACCACAGCCAGACACAGAATGTTGGACTGTTAGCTGTACCATACACCACAGCCAGACACAGAATGTTGGACTGTTAGCTGTACCATACACCACAGCCAGACACAGAATGTTGGACTGTTAGCTGTACCATACACCACAGCCAGACACAGAATGTTGGACTGTTAGCTGTACCATACACCACAGCCAGACACAGAATGTTGGACTGTTAGCTGTACCATACACCACAGCCAGACACAGAATGTTGGACTGTTAGCTGTACCATACACACACAGCCAGACACAGAATGTTGGACTGTTAGCTGTACCATAAACCACAGCCAGACACAGAATGTTGGACTGTTAGCTGTACCATACACCACAGCCAGACACAGAATGTTGGACTGTTAGCTGTACCATACACCACAGCCAGACACAGAATGTTGGACTGTTAGCTGTACCATACACCACAGCCAGACACAGAATGTTGGACTGTTAGCTGTACCATACACCACAGCCAGACACAGAATGTTGGACTGTTAGCTGTACCATAGACACAGAAGCCACCATACACCACACAGAATGTTGGACTGTTAGCTGTACCATACACCACAGCCAGACACAGAATGTTGGACTGTTAGCTGTACCATACACCACAGCCAGACACAGAATGTTGGACTGTTAGCTGTACCATACACCACAGCCAGACACAGAATGTTGGACTGTTAGCTGTACCATACACCACAGCCAGACACAGAATGTTGGACTGTTAGCTGTACCATACACCACAGCCAGACACAGAATGTTGGACTGTTAGCTGTACCATACACCACAGCCAGACACAGAATGTTGGACTGTTA